CCCCCCCCCCTTCTTTCTTGCTCATGCCTTCATGGCTATAGACAAGAGACAGCTAGAGATAAGAGGTTTGCATCAAGATATCAACAGATTGCTTGCAAACCACTAGATGGAAAGAAGATATACTAGGTTACGTGTAGGTGGTATCTTGGGTAATCATTAGAGTTCTCTGGCCACTTGTCATGGTTACTTTGTAGAGTGCCAAAGCAAGACTCAAAGTCCAGGAAGAAGAACTCAGAAGTCTGCACTGGGAGCATGAAGTTCTTCAACAGCGCTTTAGCCAGGTATGTGTCTACAGTGATATTCTGTATATGCACTTTATCTAGCTAACTTAGTAATTACACCAAGAGCACCCATCGGTTTATAGAATCACAAGGTTCCACAAAGAAGCAAAAGCCATAAAGGTAATTATTTTCCTTATTTTTTTTTTTTTGCCAAAGAAGCACAGAATTGCTCAGTATATTTATTGAGAGGTTGCATATTGTTGCCAGTTGCTTGGTTATTAGCCATGTCAAGGGTAAGGGCAATGAAAGAACCTGTGCTCAAAACCCCAAGGGAGTAACAAAGGTAATTGATGAGGGAGGGCATCCATTGATCTCATTTGTTCGAGGCTTTGAGTCTGTAGATGAAACCATTGTATAACTTATTCCAGCATCAAAAATTAGTGGTCTTACAGTACATTACATTTGATTACCACATGACACTGACACCATCTTTACACTCATCACTGTTTTTTAGTCAGTGGTATGATTTTCTCTCTCTTGCTCATGATGTAGACTCAAAGTGAACGTGACGAGTTATATGGCAAGTTTGTGAAAGCAATCCATGAAGTCCAACAAAAAAGCAACTTTAAGAACTTACTGTTGGAAAAGAAACTGGCAGCCCTTGCTGACACATTGGAGAAGAAGGTACTAAAGACACTTAACCGGTAGATAACTCTTGTCAAGCAATTTGATGGACTATATACTTCGTCAAATGACTTTTACACAACATAACTAGCAAGGTCGCGCTATCAGACTCAGTATACTTAATGTGCATGGGGATCCAATGAAGCACAATGTGAGCAAAGTGAACTTCATTTTGCCATTTCCATGGACAATGTGTTAAAATAATTTATTTCTTTCAGCTTTTATTAATCGTGCGGGAAGTTTGGAGAGTGCAAAAGAATCCTCATAGCTGCTCGACGCACAGATGAGCCCAAGAGCAACTCTCTCGCTTTTTTCTAGCCTGCATAGCAGGCGTTTCCAAAAAAAGCACGTCAAGGGAACAAAACTGCCACTGAGTCGCTTGCTCGCTCGCTTGTTTGATCTCTCCCCCCGGACAAAGGAAAGGAAATGTCTGCAACGCAGGCTAGCTTTTTTCATGTTACACAAAATTAATTGCTGTAAGCAAAACGTTATGCAGAAACCATAAGCAGAGATCTGAGTTGTGGGTTTTCCATGGAAGCAAGTGTCCGCAATACCAAGGTTTCCTCAGCTATAATTTGGATTGCCTGAACAATATAGAGCTGATTGCAAAGCCACCGTAATTTGTTCCGCCCAATCAAAGTGAACATGTGTTTGGTGGCCTTCTATAGCCAGTCGTGATCTAATTTATGTAGTCGTACTTTACCGCCTTTTTTCTGCCGGTGACTAGACTTTCTAAAAGTCCTTTCCAATAATTCTTCCCTGACCTGTTGGTTTCGCTCACGCTCGCAACTTCGTCGCTCGAAGATTACCCTCTCGCTTTGCTCGAGGGAGATAACTGAGCGAAGGATTAAGAAAAGGTCGACTTGTGGCAAGTCTAGCCGACCTAGCTGGTGACATGTTTTTCCTTCAAGTTCTCATCGCTTTGTTACACAACACTGTGGTTACTTACGTTTGAGTTCTACCAGTAATCATAAAATCATGTACAGTGTATAACACACTTAACTAGTATTTATTTTTAACATTTACAGTACACTAACTAAAATGTTTAAGCGAAACCACATTTTAAAAATTTAGAACGTGGTATGCATGTTCGTAAAGTAAGCTGTTGAAACCCTAAGATTTCCTCTAAACTTTGTTGAGTGTTTGTAATTGACATGTCCTAACTTGTACTTGTACCATTCGTTCAACAGGAAGCACAATTGAATGAAGTTCTCTCAGCCTCTAATCTGGACCCTACGGCTCTTACTGTTGTCACCAGAAAACTCGAGGTGAGAAGTGTGACAGCAGAGTTTTTACTTTCCTTCAGTAAAGCGCATTGTGTGGGCATCACTTGAAATGAACAAGTCGTTTCTACTTGTCATTCATTTTGAGGTTATGAACCTTGGAGCAGCACTTTGTTTATTGATTTTTTTGCTTTCGTTCAGAGAGACTGGGTTAGGAAGGCAATTCTGTAACACACTTACGGACCTTGTAGTCTTACATGTAGTAGATGAAACTCTTAAAGCTAAATTTAAACTTCAAGCGGTACAGTATGCTATACATAACACACTCGACATGTACAATACTTAGGAATTTTCGTTGCTCTTATTATTGTCGTGGTCATATTGAAGATTTAGCTGTACTTGTCTGAAAATTTTGTTTTAACGGGGCTAGCGTTTAGAAAATACCAGGTTCCTATTTAGTGAATATCTAATTACTGTCAGGTTCCAAATGAGGGTCGGCGATCTAACAATTTGCAGCTAATTGGAGGTCGCAGTTTTGCATTCTCTGACAGTGTGTAACTGTTTCTAGGGATTAGGTGATGGTGGAATATTTACTGTTGAAGTCCTTGTGTTCTTTTCTAAACCAAATCTCACAAAGAAACTATTTTGCCCTGTTTCAGGATGTGTTAGACTCAAAGAACAGCGCTATCAAAGACTTACAGTATGAACTGGCTCGTGTCTGCAAGGTAAATAACGTGTTTTATCGTGTTGGACACGGTAACATTCTGTTTAGTTGATGCTTTAGATGATTTTGTGTTGTTCTTAGCAGCTAATAGAGGGCTCCAAATCTAGAGCTTGCTCTATCTTTGGTAGAATTAAGTTTTAGCAAGGGCAGGCAAGTTCTCTAACGCTGCTGCCCTTGTGGCGATAGATGTTGTTAGTTTAACATGTACAATGTACGTATAGTAGTACATCAAATCGTATAGTAACCCAAGCAGTAAAATTTTAGAGATATTCATTTTTGGACGCACGTGTTGGGGCTCTAAAGACTAAGAGAGAAAAATATTATAAGCATAAAGAAATAAAGGGTGTGACGGCGCTCTTTCCAGCCTTCCGTTGTCTTTCCCACACCTCTAACTCCAGATTTTGGTTTCATTTCAGGCGCACAACGATCTCATCCGAACATACGAGGCGAAGCTACAGTCATTTGGCGTTCCAACAGAAGAACTCGGTTTCAAGCCCCTGGAGAGCAACATTGGAGGACAACAACTCGGCCGAGGCCCCGCCGGCCTAGTAGCTGCTCCGACTTAAACTACGAAAACGCTATTCCTCGACTGCGAACATTTTTATTTTCAAGGGACAATTTTGCTTCAAATCTGACAGAATCATACATAATATGTAAATAGACTCTTTAACTGTAAAAGTAAGTTTTTATTGTGTGTCGTAGATTATCGTAAAAAATTGTGTTTTACTGTAAAAAAAAAATGTTTTACTGCTTCACCGTGTTGATTTTTCACAAATATACGTTCAGAAACCTCCTCGCCCGGTATGCTTTCATGTTTTTTCCCCCTAAATTTATCCCTTTCTGTAAATACTGTCGAAGCAATATACTTCTCAGTTTCGTTCTCATTTACAATATTGTTTCCTTGCCGACCAGCTATTTGTTATGTAAATATGTTTATCTATTTTCCAAGAACGAACATCCAACTGACAAAGATTCGTACTTCAAGGTTGGAACCTTTACATTCCGCGACGAAAATGAGATTTCTGCTTAACAAACAGATTTTCGGTAAAAAAAAAAAAAAAAAAAAAAACATCCACTAGCCCAACTGAAAAATTCACAACAATGTTGCATTGGGTTATAGGGCGCTAGTTTCATTTGACTAAGGAATTGAGTGAAAATGTGGTTCAGCAAGGAATTGAAACTGCGTCTCCAGATTGTTTCTAATTATTTCTACATATTTTCCTATATACCTTTAGATTATAGTATCAGCCAGAAATAGGTTCTAGAATATCACCTATGTAACCTAAATTTTTGCCTCTAAGTTTATAATTGAGTCCAAAGGTTAGCAATGTATCATATAAATGTTCATACCCGTAGATCCAAAAAGAGTCAATTACAAGGGCGTAATGTTGTTTTTAGGTCGCGCAATCATTATGCACTTATCAGCGGCCATCCCGGAGGGTTGACCCCAGGGACATATGGGGGAATAGCGCGGGATTTGCCGATTTTTGTCTCCAATTTTTGGCCCGGGACGAGGGCATTGGACCGCTTTTGCACTTCCGAGGCAAGATACATGGGGAAAGATCCGCGGGATTTGTAACATCGCCGCCATCTTGAAAATAGAGACCTTACGATATGACGACGACAACGGCGACTGCTACGTCTGCTCTCTTAACGCACCACTGCGCATGCGTTTGACGTCACGTTGGCGTTGTCAAGGGAAGGCGCGGACGTCAGTGAATGAGGTTTGCCGTTGTGTGAAAATGCCAAGTCTCTGTTTCGCCAAGTCACTATTCCAGCGAAGGGAATGGCTAAGGAACCGAGGTAATGTGATATTTGAGTTATATTTTACTTTACTGTAGGTCAGCAACTGAAATTTAGTGCGTATCGTCGAATGATTTCGAAATATTCGCCATGATAACACTTGGCTGAATTTTACGCTAGAAGTAAAAATCTCTTTAATTCATTTGCATCGGTCTACCGTCTTGTTCAGTGGTAAGATTAAAACAGATTCTCAGTTATTTTAGTGTTTTCTTTCAGTTTTTTTTTAGTTCAGCCGTCAAACTTGTGTGTTGTGTTGAACGCAAGCCAGTTCATTCACAAATAAACAACTAGAAAATTGACGACGCGTTGATATTACTCAGTGACACACCGAACTTAATCACCAAAATGAACCTTGTGTTATCCTGGCAATGCTTTTGTTTCACGCAGTCATCGAGTGTTAAAGGTAGGGAACAATTTGGTCCGGTTTTTTTTTTTTATCTTGAAACGCTCAAAAAGGACTCTTGCTAAATTATTTTGCCAAATCCTCCAAGATTAGGTTAAAAGGAAAAATAGCTTTTCAGTTGTATTTGCAGTTTTGCTGAATACTACAGTATTCTGTATAATTTCCGATCTATAGTAATTCCTTATCAGTTTGTTTCCAAATACTATGGAAGTAAATTTGCATCTTGTTTTACTGTGTGCACAACAGCAATAATTTTTTCCCCATTTTCAGGCAGTACATTAGGTTAGATTGTCCTTTCTTGGTCAATGTAATGAAGTTATTGTTTGCAGTAATTATTCTTGTATCCAAGTGATACGAAAAGAACTGTTCTCAGTTAATTGGACAACTCCCCTCTCCCCACCCCCAGGCCAAATTCTGACAGCCTAGTTTGTTTGGTGGTGGTACCTTTGATTTGTTTGAAAACTGATTCCCCTGTGAAAATGCCGCCTTACATAACGCTGGCAAAAGGTTCAAATCCGGAATGTCCCAATTCCCATCAATCTCATAAGGTTTATACTCTTTCCTTAAGCTCACGACATATTCTTCCTCAAAGAGATTCTTCAATTTCAACCTTAGCAGCACAAAAAAGGCACCGTCGAGAGGGGTGAAGTTTGGGGAAATCTTGCTTGTCACCTTGGGAAGATCGAGTGACCCAGTTTTTCGTGTAACGCAACGTTCAGTACGTGACAGGTACCTGCTTCTTGAAAGCCGCTTCAGGAAGAACGTTTCCGAGGACGAAAAAGCGTCCGGAACATCTCCCGAGCCAAGTGAAGAAGATGCGATGATGGAAGAAATAATCTCCTTATGATGAGGCAGATAGGCTAAACGATTCCAAAAAGAAGAAAACACAAGAAGAAGCTTCTCAAGCAGAAGAAATGCGAAATGTGAGTTTGGAAACCTTTAAACAAAGTCAAGAGAGAAGCCAAGATGGCCAGCCAAAACAGTAGAAAACGAAAAGAGCAAGTGGAGCAGACACTGAATCTCGGCAAAGGTTGGAAGAACTGGAATTAAGGAAAAGAGAACTACAAATGGAGAAGGAGGCGAAAGAAGCTGAGTTGAATTTAAGAGCTAAAGAACATGAGGAAAGAGTAGAGCAACAGCGGAATGCCATTCGATTGCAGCAAGAGCAGCAGCAAGAGCTGCAAAATATGAATATGGCTTTATTGCAACAGCAACAGCAGCAAACCCAGGCGCTTATGACCTTACTACAAAAGTTTGCAGGCAAATAGAACTATCTGGTAAAGTTCTTAAAAACATTTTCCGTTCAGAGACCGTTTCATAGTTCTTAATTGCAAAATGGTTTGATTATTTTGTATTAACTACGCAATCAGTTTAAGTTATGTGATCGTTAAAAGTTTTTAAAGATGTACAAGGTTCATCTTGGAAATTTAGAGGACATGTGAAGCTAAGGAAATTACGAAGTTGTTGTCATATGGTAATAGGACAATCACATGACTTTTGGAGGGCATATAGTTTATTTGTGGCCCGAGTAGCATCATTTGCGCCCGAGCGCGAAGCGCAAGGGCGCAAATGAT